ATATTCAGCTGTAGTATATGTGTCTGGTATAGAATCAATGATCCATACTTGGAGATCATCAATGGATTTCTGGTGGAATTCAGAGAAGTGTTGTGGGACACTATGTTTTGGATTGCATTCCTGTACTAAGCGACGGTGTTCTAATTGTGCGGCCTACACAGGGCAGACTACAAGGGCAGGAGAGGCAGTATACCACATACGTGGAGGAGCAGCTGTAGAATGCTGTAATAGGACAAGTTTTTCCATTAGTACAAAACATTTTTTTTTACTGTGGGAAACATGGGCACAGGTAAGACATAGAATTGTATTACAATGGAACATCCCTGTAATTGGGACGAGAGTGAGCTGTCTGCAGATGGTTATTGGTTATCGTTGGAATTTTACTATGTGCGATCTTATTTTTTACACTTGGTGCCTTTCTGTAGGCGCATATAGGTAGGGATGGAATGGATGGGGCAAGATGTAGGTCTTGGGATAGAATGCACCAATGTTTTTTAAAAATAGTTTACATTTTTGGAGGAGGTAGTGACTATTTCAAATAAATGGAGTAGGCTTCCTCGATGAGCTCAGATGGATATCCCTTTTCGAGGAATTTATTTTTGAGGGCCATGCTTTGTGTCTGATAGTCTAGTAACCTGGTACAATTTTGTCTGAAGCAGTGAAATTGACTTTTGGGAATATTACGGATCCATCAAGGGTGATGACAACTCAAAAAATGAAGAAATGAATTACCAGCAGTAGGTTTATAATAATGTTTTGCAATGATGGTGGAATTGAATTGTGTGAGTTCTAGGTCCAAAAAACATAGTGTGGTGGGGTCAGCTACATGGGTGAAGGTGAGGCCAAAGTTGTTGGAGTTACAAAAATCAACAAATTCTAGTATGCGAGATTGGGGACCATCCCAGATGATTATGATATCGTCGATATATCGACCATGAAACACCAGATGTTGACTAAACGGGTTGTTCTTCCAGATGTGTTGGTTTTCCCACAGGCCCATTGTTAGATTCGCATAACTAGGAGCAAAATTGGCTCCCATGGCTGTGCCTTGTATCTGTGGGTAGAAATCACCATCAAAGACAAAATAATTGTGTTCCAGCCAAAATTTTGTAGCTGTAAGTAGGAAGTCAGCTGTGACACTTATCAATGTGAGTGGTTTTATATGAATTTGAATGAATGAATATTCTGTATGGTTTTACGCTATATGGATTCCTTTTTCTTTCTCCTCCATGTCCTACTCTGAATATATGATGAATTAACTGCCATTGAGAGGTATTCCATCAGCTGAAGTCTGTTGCCATAGAGTATAGCTGGTGTATTTTTTGCCAGCATGGAGCTCTGGTGATTGGATTCAATCTATTTGGTGGTGGATTTTCATTTGGGTTAACATTATACAAGATAAAGAATTTTGAAGATTGGAGCACCTCATCATTGTTTCACTGACTGTTTCACCTATTGTCTCACCAATTTATTGACTTTTTTCTTGTGGACACTTTCTCATAATATTTGTTGCCACTTTCGGTTATTGTTTGATGTCAATTATTTTAAGATATTAGTATGTTATGTTTTTGAACAATTTTCCACACATTTCAGTTTTGGACACTTTCCCACATTTTTTTATTACAGTTTTTTACATTTGTTTTTTAGCACTTGTTATATTATTAGAGATATTTTTCGGGTAGAGTGCAATAAATTTCCTTGGTTGTTTGCCCTGGTTGGGGTTAACATATTTCTTCCATCATTTTACCAATTGGTTCACAAATTGTTTCACAAATTTATTGATTTTTTTTATCTTTTTCTTTTGAACACTTGCTTACACCTTTGTTATTAATAATTATAAATACTTTTTTTGATATATTTGTTTATGTTAATCACTCATAGATATATTGATTAATAATATGCCATGTTTTTGAATAGTTTTCCACACATTTTAGTTTTGGACACTTTCCCACATTTTTTTATAGTTGTTATAAAAGCAGTTTTGTATTATAAGAGATATTTTTTGGGAAGAGCGCTGTCTTGATATTTATTGCTTTAATATATAAAGAATGGCTGGTAGTGATACTTTCCATTGCAGCCACAATTGGACGGCCCGGGGTTTTTTTGGATCCTTGTGCATCTTGGGCAAATGGTAGAAATAAGGGACTTTGTAGAATTCTTTTTGGAAGAAAGAGGCCTCAGTTTTAGTTAAGGTGCCGTCTTCAAGGGCCTTGTTGATAATAGTTTGGGATTTTGTCAGATAGAAGTCTGTGATCTTCGGTAAAATAATCGGTTCTGTTTTTTATCACTATGCCACCTCCTTTATCTGCTGATTTGATGATAATGTCAATGTCACTGACTGAGAGTGTTTAGAGCTGTTTTTTCTAAATACAACAAGTTAGATGTAAAGTGTTTGTTTCTGGACTTCTCTTTCTTGCACATATGCACATTAGTGCACTTGCGACAGGTGATACTGACGTGATACTTTTTTTATTTTTGATTTTGAGTAGACAAGCTTTTGGGGAGTGTCCCTTCTTCAAGGTCCAAGCAGTACTATTATTACAAAGTGTTAGCAGAATGTTAGAGATGTGGGGGATGAGAAAAAAAAAAAGCAGAAAGAAACACAAGCCTAGGGTTAGCCTAGAGATAAGACACAGCAAAGCAAAGGGGGGGGGGGGGAGAACACAACACTCACAGAGAGAGTCATAAAAATGTTGGGTAATGATTGAGGAATCCCATGTTCAAATCTCTAACATTCTGCTGAAACTTTGTAATAATAGTACTGCTTGCACCTTGAAGAAGGGGACATACCCCGAAAGCTTGTCCTCAAAATTGTACATTAGTGCAAATAAAAAAAAGCATAATGTCAGTACTTAATTGCACATATCAGTGAGTTCACTGAAAACTATTTGATAGAAGGTGTCCACATACGGTCCTTTGGATTGTGTGGGGTTAAATACTGGTTTTGGTTTGAAATGAGTATGTTTAGTGGGTGGGGATTTATTGGGATGTTGTCACCAAAAGATAAGGTTGTCATCTGTACTTTCATTCGATAGGTCACATAAATCTTGAAGACGAGATTCCGCTAATGATATGGGGGATAAAACGGGTGAACAATATCTAATTTGGGATTTTATGAATTTTGAATGTTGAAGTACATTTTTAAGGTTAAATTACAGATGAATCTATTCAAATATTTAAACAGAGTGAAGGAATTGGGTAGGGATGTGGGTGCAAAGTTCAAACCTCGTAAGAAGGAGACTTCTGCTGGGAAAAGATTATGTGAGGATAAATTAAACATTTTTATTGTTTCCATAGTTTTTTGGGGGGGGGGGTGTTTGTGTTTCCCCCCTCTTTTGCTTCTCCTGCAAATTTTCTTTTGATGATAGAGGATGCAGAAATGGGGGGTTGAGATGATGACCTGGATTGGGTAATAGGGGTGTGTGTGGGGGATGGATGAGGGCTGGTGATCAACTGAGGAGGGGTTTTGGCGGAAGCATGGTTGGGATTGGGGAGAGAAGTGCCTCAGGGTATTGGGATGAATTGGAGTTAGGTTTATGATGTTTTTTGGGGGGTGATGGATGGTTGTGTTAGGTTAGGAATGGACTTGCCAGTAATGGTGGGACTCACCTGCCTTGTGGGCTGCAGTACCAGGGCTGGCCAGCGGGTGCTCCCAGCAATCAGAGACTCAACCCTGCAGCCAGCCAAACACCTGAAACTGCTTAGGCAGGTGTATTTAAGTGATGGCCAGACCTGCAGTCTTTGCCTTGGTGTGTGTTTTTCCTGGGCTCTGTATCTTGTTCCTGCATCCCTGTTCCTGTCTCTGTCTCTGTCTGATTCGTTGCTGACCCTGCCTGATCCGGACCTCTGCTGACTTCTCCTGCTTTATCCCTGGCTTGTGACCCCGACTATTCTCTGCCTGACCCCCCTGTACCTACCTGCCCGATTGTTATTGACCCGGCCTGCCTGACGACGCTTGCATTGTATGTATTATCTGTGGGTGGTTTGGTTCGTTTGCACTGTGTTATGTTTTAGTATTGCACTGCGTTTATGTTTGTATTGTTAGTCTTTAATAAATTATATTGTTGATAACTTATCTGAAGCCTGCGTTTCCCTGCGTCGGTCACATACCTCTGGTCATACCCTGGAGCCCTGACATTACACCAAGGCCAATCCTGACCAGAAGTGGCTGCACAGGGAAGCCATCTTGGCTTGTTGCTGGGAAGGATGGATCTTGATGAGGTTGTGTATTTATATCTGCTAGTGTTTGATGATAGAGAATATGCTTATCAGACTCTGAAGGAGTATCCCAGGGATGAACTGCTAGAATGTATACGGCTCGCTCATGTTCTAGTAGATCAGGGCACAGAATTCTCTGAGGTGCAGCCATTGATTCAGGTTTGTGCGGAGTTGGTTTCATCTGGTACCCCCGAATGCACGGATGAATTATTGCCGCCATTTAGTGCCGACCAGGTAGAGTCCCTGGTGTGGTTATTAGAGGATGATGTGGATTACTTTCTGGAGCGTTATTCTGCATGTTCACCACAGATACTAAGAGATTGTATAAACGCAGTGCAGTCATTGACCAGACAGGCTTTGTGTAAACTGAGCTTCGTTCAACCCATACTGCAGACATTGTCAGACTTGTTGCACCCAGCCTCAGTCAGCTTACAACATCATTCCTCCACTCAAGGCACTCTTCCTACATCCCCGACAGCACCCCCAGTGACTGCCCAGTATACTCTAACTACCACATACCAGTCCTCTGCTCCCACTCGCTGCACCTATCCTTTCTTTAATCCTGTAAAGAAGTCCTCTGTAGCAACTGCTCCCTCCTCTGTTCCATCTTCCAGCTCTTCTCTGTCCTCAGCTGCTCCATCCATTTACAAACCTGCGTTTACTTGCAGTGCCCCAGTAGTTAAAACCAGAAAAAAGCGGAAATTCTTTCCAACCAGTACCATCCTGCCAGTATCCCAAACCGGTGAGCCTGCCGTCTGAGAACCTGCCTTCCGTGGTTCAGCCTGGTGCCTCGGCACCCGCACTTCAGCCTGATGTCTGTACCCAGCCTGATGTCTGTACCCCTGATGTCTGTACCCTGATGTCTGTACCCAGTCTGATGAACTGATCCAGCCTGATGATCCTATCACGCCTGATGACCCAGTGCCCGCTGTCGAGCCAGACGATCCGGTACCTGATGACCCGGTGCCCACTGTCATGCCTGGTGACCCGATGCCCGCTGTCGAGCCAGACGATCGAATGCCTGATGACCCAGTGCCCGCGGTCATACCTGGTGACCCGATGCCTGCTGTCGAGCCAGATGATCCAATGCCTGATGACCCAGTGCCCGCTGTCATACCTGGTGACCCGATGCCCGCTGTCGAGCCAGGAGATCCAATGCCTGATGACCCAGTGCCCGCTATCATGCCTGGTGACCCGATGCCCGCTGTCAAGCCAGACGATCCAGCGCCAGATGACCCGGTGCCCGCTGTCGATCCAGACGATCCGGTACCTGAGGACCCAGTGCCTGCTGTCATGCCTGGTGACTCGATGCCCGTTGTCGAGCCAGACGATCCAACGCCAGATGACCCGGTGCCCGCTGTCAATCCAGACGATCCGGTACCTAAGGACCCGATGCCCGCTGTCGAGCCAGACGATCCAATGCCTGATGACCCAGTGCCCGCTGTCATGCCTTGTGACCCGATGCCCGCTGTTGAGCCAGACGATCCAGCGCCAGATGACCCGGTGCCTGCTGTCGAGCCAGACGATCCGGTACCTGATGACCCGGTGCCCGCTGTCGTGCCAATTGACTCAGAGCCCACTGTCGTGCCTGGTGACTCGGTGCTCACTGCCTTGCCAGATGACGCGGTGCCCGCTGGCGAGCCAAATGACCTGATGCCTGGTGACCCAGTGCCCGCTGTCATACCTGGTGACCCGATGCCCGCTGTCGAGCCAGACAATCCAATGCCTGATGACCCAGTGCCCGCGGTCATGCCTGGTGATCCGATGCCCGCTGTCGAGCCAGACGATCCAGCGCCAGATGACCCGGTGCCTGCTGTCGAGTCAGACGATCCGGTACCTGATGACCCGGTGCCCGCTGTCGTGCCAATTGACTCAGAGCCCACTGTCGTGCCTGGTGACTTGGTGCCCACTGCCTTGCCGCCTCTCCGCCTGGGGGCCCGAGACCTGTCGCTCCGCCTGGGGGTCCGACGCGCCCGCCGCTCCGCCTGGGGGCCCGAGACCTGTCGCTCGCCTGGGGGTCTGGCGCCCGCCGCTCCGCCTGGGGGCCCGAGGCCTGTCGCTCCGCCTGGGGGTCCGGCGCCCCGCCGCTCCGCCTGGGGGCCCGAGGCCTGTTGCCCCGCCTGGGGGCCCGAGGCCTGTTGCCCCGCCTGGGGGCCCGATGCCTGTCGCCCCGCCTGGGGGCCCGGTGCCTTTCGCCCCGCCTGGGGGCCCGATGCCTGTCGCCCCCGCCTGGTGGCCCGTGTGCTGCTGCTGCTCCGCCTGGTGGCCCGGTGCTGCTGCTCCGCTGGTGGCCCGGTGCCTGCTGCCCGCCTGGTGGCCTGGTGCCTGTCGCCCCGCCTGGGGGCCCGATGCCTGTCGCCCCGCCTGGGGGCCCGGTGCCTGCTGCTCCGCCTGGGTGCCCGGTGCCTGTCGGCCCGCCTGGGGGCCTGGTGCCGCCTGCTCCGCCTGGGGGCCCGGTGCCTGCTGCTGCCCGGAGTGGTGATCTGATGTGCCTCTGCCCGGAGTCCAGCCCGATGTGCCTCTGCCCGGAGTCCAGCCCGGAGTCCAGCCCGATGTGCCTCTGCCCGATGTGCCGCTGCCCGGAGTCCTGCCCGATGTGCCGCTGCCCGGGAGTTCTGCCCGATGTGCCGCTGCCTGGAGTCCTGCCCAATGTGCCGCTGCCCGGAGTCCTGCCCGATGTGCCGCTGCCCGATGTGCCGCTGCCCGGAGTCCTGCCCGATGTGCCGCTGCCCGGAGTCCTGCCCGTGTGCCTCTGCCCGGAGTCCTGCCCGGTGTGCCGCTGCCCGGAGTCCAGCCCGGTGTGCCGCTGCCCGGAGTCCTGCCCGATGTGCCAGTCTTTGATATCCCGCCAGTTACCAGACCCGGGCGGTGGAACATTTTGCCCAGCTAGGACTGTTTGGAGCGTCCTGAGGCCGCTCCTTGAGGGGGGGGTACTGTTAGGAATGGACTTGCCAGTAATGGTGGGACTCACCTGCCTTGTGGGCTGCAGTACCAGGGCTGGCCAGCGGGTGCTCCCAGCAATCAGAGACTCAACCCTGCAGCCAGCCAAACACCTGAAACTGCTTAGGCAGGTGTATTTAAGTGATGGCCAGACCTGCAGTCTTTGCCTTGGTGTGTGTTTTTCCTGGGCCCTGTATCTTGTTCCTGCATCCCTGTTCCTGTCTCTGTCTCTGTCTGATTCGTTGCTGACCCTGCCTGATCCGGACCTCTGCTGACTTCTCCTGCTTTATCCCTGGCTTGTGACCCCGACCATTCTCTGCCTGCCCCCCCTGTACCTACCTGCCCGATTGTTATTGACCCGGCCTGCCTGCCTGACGACGCTTGCATTGTATGTATTATCTGTGGGTAGTTTGGTTCGTTTGCACTGTGTTATGTTTTAGTATTGCACTGCGTTTATGTTTGTATTGTTAGTCTTTAATAAATTATATTGTTGATAACTTATCTGAAGCCTGCGTTTCCCTGCGTCGGTCACATACCTCTGGTCATACCCTGGAGCCCTGACAGGTTGTGAACTAGTTTACTGGTGGGATTTGTTGGTGACTATGGTACTGTATGAATTGCTGTTGCTCTTATTGATGGTTCTAGAAACGGGCCTCTTATGTGGTAATAGGGAAAGGTCCATAAGAGGTGGTATAGATTTGGTCTTTTTCTTCCAGCTGAAAACTCTATTGAGGTTGTAGTAATCAAAATCTCTACGCAGTTTAGTTAGTTTAGTTCTAATCAAGAAATCTTCTGCTTTTTTGGTATTTTTTTTAAAATGGGATCATTGAGATGGCGCGTCTGCCGGAAGTCACATATCCGGTTGTTTTGTCATACACCTGACGAGAGACTGCATAGAAATTGGACCCTTAAAAGAGTTCCTAGGAGGTCAGCATTTCAGCACAATGACAAAAGTGAAGCAGGAGAATGGTTGAGGCGTACTGACAAATCCTTCTATATCTAAGCTTTCCAGACGTTAGTTAAACGATGGGATAAGTGTATAAATGTAGTAGGGGAGTATGTTGAGAAATAAGTGCAGTTTCCACTCTTTGAAATTTGAATTTTTATTATATAAAGTCAAAAGTCCTGGTTTGTCTTGAACATGCCTTGTACATGCTGTTGCTAGGTACGTGTGTAACAAGGTAATGGAAATATACAAATGGAAAAGGACATGAAAAGTTATCCAAATCAACCAGACCAAGAAAGATCACAGCCACACTTGTTCTGATACAAAGAACAACCCACAGGTAACCTCAGGAGAAATACAGGCTGCTGTGGTATTTCTCCTGAGGTTCTCCTGTGGGTTTTTCTTTGTATTACAACCAATTCTTCTGGCAGTTGTGGCTGCGATCTTTCTTGGTTTGTACCAAGTACCTATACTTGGCTTGGTACCAGGATATCCCCGAATTTTCCATTTCTTAATAAGTGACTGAACAGTAATGACCTGACATATTCAAGGCTTTGGGTATCTTTTTATATCCTTTTCCATCTTTATAAAGTTCTCTTACCTTGTTACACATGTCTTTTGACAGTTCTTTTCTGATCCCCATGGCTTAGTATCTAGCCTGCTCAGTGCATCCATGAAAGCTAACAAACTCATTGACTATTTATCCTCAGCCACTAATTGAACTTTAAAAAGCTATAGATGTTGGAAATTAACCATTATTTTCCATTTTAACCTGTGTGTGTCACCTTGTGTGCCTGTACCAAGACCAATTATTCCAGGGTATGTAAACTTTTGATCAGGGCCATTTGGGTGATTTCTGTTACCACTATGATTTAAAAGAAAGCCAAACAACTATGTGATAAAACATGGCTTCATATGATCACTATCCTTAAATAAAAGACAGTTTTTTTGGCATAAGCAGTCATATTTTCAATACCAATGCCAACATTTTCCAATTTCTGCCAAGGTATGCAAACTTTTGAGCACAACTGTACATATGAATCCTCTCAAAATGGTTGCAGATGCAGGTTAACACAAATTGAATAGTCTTTAAGCACTTTGTTTTCTTTTAGAAAATATAAAATTGAGCGAGGTAAATGTTTAAAGAATAACTGAATGCTGTGAATAAATGAATAAAGAGCTCCAGTCTTGCCTCTACAGAGCACTATGTTTCAGAGTTCTCAAATTACACAAATAGCCAAAAAAAATGAAAGCTGTCCTTTGTTACTATAAATAAAAGGGATGCGTGGCTTCGGCGCTCGGCAGAGGCCACACTAACTGAGCTCCTGGATTCTCACAGCTCCACAGCCTACAAATCAGTCACCAGAAGCTAGATGATGGGCAAACTTTCTAAGCCCATGCAGCACACCCGTTAACACCGTTTATCTGCCTCCCCTCCAACCAGTCACCGGCAATCTTCAGATCACAGTTGGCCTCCAAACGTGGCACTTCAGTGGGCAAGATGGCAACGGCCCGCCATGAGGAAGACAGCAATGAAGAATCATTGCCAGCATCTGAGGACTTGGTAAGAGAAACTGATCATGCTGATCATCCCCTCACCTTCTCTGATATGACAGCCAAAGCTACAGATATCAAAAGCTCTCTCACAGCAGCTATCACAGATCTAAAAGCAGATCTCCTTGTAATGTCTGATCTACTGGCTGCAGAAGAGCGACAAGGAAGGCAGAGAGACAAAGCTATTGCTAGACCAGAGGACATGACTCTGTGTCTTATTCCAGCCACTTTATTGCTATGGACAGACACCTAGAAGATCTCGATAACAGAGGAAGGAGGAATAATGTGAGTGAGAGGGGTTCCTGAGTCTGTAAATCCTGAGCAGACGAAACCTGCCCTAATAAAGATCTTTATTGGTATCTAGGAAAGAGACCCTGAAATTTTCATTGATTTTGACCAAGCACATAGATCACTAAGGCCTAGAAGTACAGACAATGCACAACCCAGATATATCATTTGTTGTCTCTACAATTTCTGCTTAAAGGAGGACATACTCTCTAAAGCCAGACAAAGCGACCTTAGCATATTTAATGGAAACACCATTAAGCTCTTTCAAGATCTGTCGCCTATCGCTTTAAATAATAGAAGGGCTCTGCGTCCCCTGCTGGAGGTACAGGCGGAAATTTGCCTTTGCATTACAAGTCACACAAATAAAAAAACAATATCTGCTAAGAACACCAGAAGAGCTAACAGAGTTTATTTACAAATACCATACACTAACCTACTAGAATGATCTCAAAAATTCAAACTCCCTTCACCGGTCTCTAATTCCTCAGAATCACCTGGCAACTCACCTAACAAAACATCTCACAAAAAAGGAAATTATAAACCAACTACATCTAGATCTGCTTTATCCTCCCGTGGTCAAAAATGCCTAAGACACAAATCCAACAACTCCTGCGCTCAGAGACCCAGATCAGAGAAAGGCCAATCGAACAATATGACAATACG